ACAATGATCTTGTGAAGCCTTTTATGTTAATAAAAGGTTTGAGCAAAAACGAGGCAAGCTCAGGTTGGTAATTAATTATCAGCTCTTAAATCATTTCCTGTAAGATGATATGTTCCTTTTGCCAAACATCATGACATTATTATCATGCCTTCACAATGCTAAAATTTTCTCCAAGTTTGATCTCAAGGCCGGATTTTGGCAATTTAGCATTCATCATAAAGATAGATACAAAACAAGTTTTTACATACTAGACCATTATTATCAATGACGAGTCATGCCTTTTAGTGTTAAGGTGGCACCTTTATTATTTTAAAAGGTCATGATTAAAGTATTTGACCTCATGCTTCAATCAACTTTAATCTATATTGATGATATGTTACTTTTCTCTAAAAATAAGGAGTCACATACTACTTTGTTAAAGCAATTTGCAGAGATTGTTCACCACCATAGTATAATGCCTTTTGAAAGCAAGATGCTTATATATCAAAATTAAATTAAATTTCTTGGCATGATCTTTTCTGATAGTGCTTATACACCTAGCATCCATATAGCTAAAGAACTCCAAAAGTTTTCAAATGGCCCCCTCACGAGAAAACAAGTCCAACAGTTTTTGGGAATTGTCCAATATCTCAAAAATTTTATCTCTAGAGTTGTATAGATGATAAGGCCACTTCAGTTAATGCTCAAGAAAGATGCAGACACCTGGACAAAAAAAAACTCAAGTAGTCAGACAGTCAACCATAAAAAATTTACTTACTTTATTCATTCCAACAACAGGACAACGTAGAATCCAAATTGATTCCAGTGACAAGTATTGGATTGATGTGCTCCTAAAAGAAAAGGATGGTCACCAACACATATATGGCTATAAAAGTGGGTCATTCAAGGAGTCAGAAACCCACTACCACTCTACTTTCAAGGAAATCTTAGGTGTAAAGTATGACATCAAAAAATTTGAGTTTCACCTGGCCACCTATCACTTTATAGTTATCATGGATTGTTCCTTTTTTTCAATAATGCTACAGTTCATGCACAAGATGCTTCCTCATCCACAGTTTCTGAGATTAGCTAAATGGTTCAAGATGCTTCCTCGTCCACAGTTTCTGAGATTAGCTAAATGGTTTTCCAAGTACCTTCATTATCGAGCATATGAAAGGAAATAAAAACTTGATCCCAGACATGCTCACTAAACCACCCAAATCACAAACACTACTCCTTCTCCTAATTCTTATGGCCTCTTCTTCCAATCCTCCTCCATCTGAACAAGACTTCCCTACAAATGACTTACTTCCTCTTGCTCAAGAAATGGTTCTTAACCACACTCTTGATATGAAGGCAAAAGACAAACTATTTAGGCTCCAAGACTACCTTCTTCTCAACTGTGATATATCTTCCCTTTGTTTTCAAAGCCTAAGTATCCATCCTAAATATCCTTTCCTTCACCTTTTCACCTAAAGAACTCTACTCTTATGGTATTTATGTCACTTGTACTATATTTTTATCGAGTTTCTCACTGATTTCTTTCTTTTTAGATTTCTCAGGACATCTTCACTAGCAGACTCGTGGAACTATACTCTAAAGTTCCTCACTTGGTTCTGTAACCCCATGCAATGAATCTTTCTTCTCTAACAAGAAAAATCCAAATGGCCCCATGCACAAACCTGCTGGATTGAAGTACACCGCAGTACACTTCGTAATTAATTTGTTAAGCAAGCCTTGGCCCATCTATTCTCTATTTTCATATTTCACAAGCCTTTTAAAGCTTCAGCAAACAATCTAGTTATGAGTTTTCCTCAAGCTGCAATATACAAAACTTATCCATATTCCCTATATAAAAACCCCTTGGATAACCCCACGAACATCAGTACCTTGCAAAAAATAGTGTGTTTTATGAACAACATTATTCCTGATGAAATATGGCATAAAAGAATAAGCCCTAATGAAGAAATTGATTATGATCTGTATAACCCTTAATATTCTACTCATCTTCATAACTTGCACATGCAATATAAAAAAAAAACTCAAGCATATAATTTTAGGAATACTAGAGCTTCTAGAATCACATGAGATGGAAATGATTGTAAAAAATGACTATGTGCTAGCCCTATAAATCCAAACTATTTGTGATCAGGATAACTTTTCAGATCAAAATCTCTCTCCAGATCATGAACCTATTATCAGTTGATATTAAAAACAACATTATTCCTGATGAAATATAGTATAAAGGAACATACCCTGATGAAGAAATTGATTATGATCTGTATGACCCTCAATATTCTGCTCATCTTCATAACTTGCAGATGCAGTACAAAAACAAAAAGCTTAAACAGATAATTTTGGGCTTCTAGAACCACATTGGATGGAAATGATTGCAAAAGATGACTATGTGCTAGCCCTACAAGTCCAAACTATTTGTGATCAGGATAACTTGTTAGATTAAAATCTCTCTCCAAATCGTGAACCTATTGTCAGCTGATATTAATGTTGTATGAGCTTGTCATTTGTATCATCAATCATGTAAGGCTGCATTATTAAATATGCTTCAGTGCTTTTTGATGTAAGGTGTGATGTAAGCAAAAGCTTTCAAAGTAATATAAATAGAGGTTGTGTGTAATGTATCTCAAAGGAAAGGTCTCTTTAATAAAAAACATGTTTTTAAAATTTTATGTTCTTCAAGTTATCTTTACATTTTAAACTAGAAATTTTTGTTATCATCAGATAAGACATGACTCCAATAAATAACTTTAAATGCTCATAAAATTAGTCGTGCTAAGCCACTTCAACACTAATATAAGAACTAAATAGAAAAAAATAAACCTGGAATTTGCTAATTGTGCGTAATTAGAATGAGCAAATATTTAGCATTTACGGAACTTCAATGAATATTCTCAAAATAATAAATAGTTGAAAAAAAATTAATTACAAGTAAATTTATTTATTAAAATAAATGAACAAATAATAGTTAAATTTATCCTTATATTTTATTAAAAAAATTATAAACGTCATTGGCACACGACCTCTATATTGATTTTCAGTTGGCCAAACTACTTACCGTAAGCACCTTAGGAATACGAGAAAAGCACAAGATTTGTCTCTTTTTGTTCGTCCAGTGAACATCTATCAAGCATGTGTGTGACTTGCATTTATTAATTATTAAAAATTTATATTGCTATTAAAATATTTTGGTAAAAAAAAGGGATAGTTTAGTCCTAAATTACGTACAAAGATATAAATATGAGTACTCGTATATATATATATATTATATTTGGTTGATTATAGATAATACAAAATAAAATACATAAAAAATTATTTTACTCTTGATCTATATTACCATCAAATTTGACATGTTTGAGACAATAATCAGAGATTTTTTTTTACTTGGTATTAAAATCTTATTTTAGTTAATTTAAAGTGTTAACTTCTCAATCTAAAAAAATATTAAAAAAGGATTTATAATCGTATTTAATAAAAACATTCATGGCTAAGGAGATAATATAATTAAACTATAATTTACATATGATCAAAAATATTTAATAATTCCTAACATTGCATAAAACACATTAGGGTTCTCTGCATTATACACAAGAACAGGCTGCTCATTGCTGACGATAAGACTGGGGATTAAAGGTAAAATAAGGGCGTAGTGAAAGGCACTGTTGAGGCCTATTTATGAGAATGGATCTCACATTCCTCCCTCTGGCTGTGGAGGGGGGCACGTCTATATTAATTATTAAATGGCAGAAATAGAAAAAATAGGTTGCCGATAATTAATTATTAAATGTATAAACTTGTGCGACACAACAATATCAAGCTAAGAGTTTGACTGCACATAATTAAAAAAATAAAACAATTTATACATTTAAATAACATGATAAAAATGTTACACTCACATAGAAAAAATAAAGAAGTTCACCTATTAAAAATATATTTAACCCTCCTCTTCTTACGCTTAATACACATTTTTTGCCAAAATATTTGTAGCAATCTACATTAATTTACATTAAAGTACAAAGTCCTATAACAAGGTAAGAGGGACGATATATATATATATATGAAGGAAAAACACACAAGATAAAACTTTAAACTAAGAAAAATACAAGGTAAAATGGACAACTACATAAAAAATAAAAGATCAAATCTAGTAGAAAGAACTCAAATTTTGAGATTATTGAAGAAGCAAAAAACTTATTTTTGGTGAAAATACCGATGACAACATACAATAGAAATCTTAAAAAATACTTAAATTAGGAAGAAAGAGAAGAGAAGAAAGAAGATGTTTTAGCAAGGTTATCTAATTTTTAATTTTAAAGTGTTTGCTTTTTTATTTTTTCAATTCCATCATAAATATATAATTATCATTTTCCAATTATTCCTTAAAAAAACCCCTCAATATAAATGTTGTAATGGTCTTTGCCAAGTAAGTTTTGTCCCACCCAAATAATGCAATGCAATAATTGTTGGAAGTAAATAAACACTAGTAATTACCTTGGCATGTTCATCATTTTTGTTGCTCTAGTAGTGTTAAACATCCTTGACTTGGCAGATTGGCTTGAGGCACGGGGCTCGAAACCTGATTTAAAGTGTATTTTAAATTAAATTCAATAAAACTCGGTTAATCTTGTCAGATTTTTAATGACTTTGTTCCTTCCTAAACTTAATTTGAAATTAGATCAACCAAAAAAAATTATTATTTTAATAAAAATAATTAACTATATAATCGTACGAGTTAACTTGATAATCTAGTAACCCGTATTTCTGATCAAATTTTCGAGTCGGGTATAGCACTCCACTATGAACAGCAATGGAAGCGTAGGTGGAGGTGGAGGTGAGGACATTGGTGCAACGAGGGCTCAACTCCAGAGAACCAAAGACTATATCAGGTATAAATCAAAGTGCCAACAGATTCCTGTATCAGTGGGAACTAAATGGACTATGAGCCACGCAACGGATATATAGTCCTTATCCTATCCATTAAATCCTTGATTTCAATCAGAAGACAATCACAAGGGTCTCCTGCTAAATTATTTTTTTTATTGTTTTCACAACATCAAAAAGAGATTTCGTGATCTTCACCATCCTATAATCATGGATCAACATCATGGCAACCGCGCTTCTCCAAACGAGGTAACATGGGTTTAATCTTCTTGAACGAATCATCATTGGGTTTAGCTTTCTGAAGTGAAATTTCTATTGTAGAATTAAAAGAAACTGGAGTGCACGTCAGCTATGTGATCTATCAACAAAGACTCCAGTGGCAATCGATCTTGACTGCAGCAACAATGTTCCTTGCCCTTGGTATTCAGTTGGAATAATCTTTTAATGGACTCCGCATCTCAGATCTAGCTGCAACTATGCTCATGGGGGGTGTGGCTAAAGAAATTGTAGGCCCAAAGTCCTCTTGCTGCATAAACGCGTGATGGGACACTGCTTCCATTTTCATCGTCATGTTTTGCCATGATGCTTAGTTTCAGGATCATGTGCTTCTCGATCCTTGTATTTCTGTTGCCATTGCTGCTGATATTTCCTGCTACAAGGTTTGTTTTCGTTGACAAACTTCTCATTTGTATGCAATATTTCCATTTTTCCTTGCTCAATGTTTCTGTGTGGGCGTCCACATTTTACCCCAACCATGGATTTAAAAATATTCGATCAATCAACACACCATAGTTTTGTATGATCACACTAAACTCTTTTAAAATCTTGGTTAAAAAAAAGTCAAACAATTTATAGCTTTCTTTAAAGCTACTTTCTCAGAACATAACCATGAATTCATCATATATACGCAAGTGTTGTAATGTCATAAAGCCAGCCATACTTCGAGATTAAATGATAACGGACATTCAAAAGTTTGAGCATTTCAGCTAAAATTACGAGCACCTTCTACAACAACCGAGAGGCAGTTTTGGCAAAAATTGGCGATGGTGTGCGGGGTGCTGCAGAAAGAGCGCCTGCACAAAGGAATGCATGCAGTGCCTTTTCACATCACTTCTTAGACTTTGGTTTAAACATATTTTCCTTGTAGTATTGGAGTTCCCTTATGCTTTCTCTGATATCATCCAAGGCTCTATGTTTATTTTCCTTCTGAGGGGCCTTCCTCTGATCTGTACAAGTTATGTTAATTGATAAACAAACCTTTCATCACAGAAACGACATAAGAACAGGTGATAATACTCCAACTGTTTATTGATTTTAGGAAATATCAACTAGAAAAATAGAGTTTAACTCTATTAAGTGTTGACTTGTGAGACTGTCTTCACCTTCACTTCCATCTGTCTTTTGGTCTAACCTTTCCTGGAAGGTTGGAAGAGAGGAGACAAGACATCCTCCATTAAGGAGAATGCGGGGAGGGGGAGAGGGGGGTGGGGGGTTCTAGGAATTGGGAACCCCGCCGGCTTTCTAGAGTTAAGATACAATCCTGGAGAAACATGAGAGCAATGCACCTCAAACACAAAACTGAGAAAGCAAGGTGTGCATGGTACCCTCATTGACTTGCAGCAATGGTGTCGAGTTATCCCTAAGAATGATACATAACAAGCTTTCAGGATCTATGTTGTAATTTTAGACATTTACCTTGAGGATACCAGCGCATGCACAAAGCCTTGACACTGCTAACATCAACGACAACATGAGAGAAGAGACCAGCCAAATCTGGCATGTATTTCTGCGAAGGAGAATAAAAAACACTCACAAGAAGAAAAATAGAAGTCACAGAATGACTAGTAAGGAAGATATCACCCCCATTCAATATTGCAAAAATATGGGAAACTAACAGAAGAAACAGAAAACAAGGTATCACAGAAAATTGGGAGGTTAATCACTGAACATAAACAAAAACATGCATCATGCAATTGTTGACTTCATTCTTTGGAGTTAAAAGGAAAGAAAAATCCCCAAAGAAATCACCTTACATGTTAAAGTAGTGTTCCATTTATTAAAATTGCATGAATTTCCAAGAAACATACGATGGAATGTTGGATACCACATTTACTTTGAACATAAAAAATATTCCAAAAATTTCATATTCTGCCACAACTGCATTTCATTTAAAAAATTATGGGAATGAGGTTAGTGGCCTCTCCCTAAAGCATTATAAGATTGCCAAGGTCTGGGAATCTGGTTTGATACTCCTTTTTGAAAGATAAGAAACTGTGAAGCTTTAGCTGTCCAAAACTTTTCTTCCAATGTAAAGGCCTAACATCTACATTTTCTCAAAATTCCTCGAATCAATACAGTATTGGGCCCATGTCTTTGCAACCTGATCTCACCAGTCAAGTTCACCCCGAAATTAGCATTCAACAAACAAAACTAGGCCATATTCCCATAATTTATCCCTGATATTACAGGCATGCATTGATGTTTAAATACCAAGGAAACAAAATCTTGCAAAGAGAGTAGATCACAAAATGCCAACAGGTTATTTTGAATATAAATAAGACATCAAACATGAGATCAGGGTATCAAATGAAACTGAATGCATGAATATCTCCATGCACATGATCTGCATGACAACCTGACCAGCATCACTGTTAACAATATTAATGCAGCTTGTCCTCAAATGAAACCAACCACTAGTTAATCCCTTGAGCTAGAAGAACCATGCAATTCTCCAGGAACGATGCACTGTTCTAGGGGTAAAAATATATCTCATGTGTAGCAAGATAAAAAAACAGTCCAAGTAAAGTGCAATCACTAGTTAATCCCTTGATCTGGAAGAACTATGCAATTCTCCAACGACAATGCACTTTTCTAGGGGTAAAAATATTTCTCATATGAGTGTAGCAAGATAAATAAATAAATAAATAAATAAAAAACAGTCCAAGTGCAACCACTTGGACTTGTAGATTATGCAACTGCTTCAAAATTTTAGCATGCCTTTAAGATCTCAAGCCAACATTCACAACAATCATCCAAAACTAAGCATGCTAACAACTGGTGTTGGTGAACACCCATATGATGAAACAAATTGATTTTATACATAAAAACTCACTCAGAAACCAAATATTAAAGAAGTGTACTATATAAATGGTTCTTTAATACACCTTGTGGTGGGTGGGAAAGAAAATGTAAAACAGTCAGATACCTTTAAGAAAAGAAGATCCACATAAACTGAATTTCCTGCTATAAGAGGTGTGTGTGTACCAACATGTCTCTTCACAAATCCTATAACCTGCAATATTCAAGCATATAACTAGGTGCAGGAGACATGAATAAAACATTCAACTAGAATGCCATGATATAGATGTTACCTTACATGAATAAGTAAAGAGGAACATGACTTAGATTTTTTAATTAGATGTGAGCAAACACATTATACATCAAAATGAAAGGATTAGATTTTTGATAGAGTCAAAATGAAAGGAAAGAAGAACATGATTATGAATTAGATGTGAGCAATGTAGAGATTAATTGTTAAATAGGGTTTTAAGATATGTTTTTCACATAGAAGACATTATATCAATGAAAAAATGAATGAGAAGAAAAAATATGCAAAACTTTAAGAGAATAAGTTTTTAAGAGATGTTTTTCACATAGAAATCAATGAAAAAATGAATGAGAAGAAAAAATATGCAAAACTTAAGAGAATAAGTTTCTAAGAGATGTTTTTCACATAGAGGACATTTTACCCATTATCACAATGCATGAGAAAAAAAATGAAAAAAATAAAAGAAAGAGGCATCTCAAAAAAAAATCATGTGCATCAAACAAGATGAAAGATTTACATAAACTAGAAAAAAAACAAAATAGCCAAGGTTATATGCTTTTATTAATGTACATAAAAATAATATATATGATCATTTACATGCATTAAGCAAACGAGAATATTCCCAATCATGAAGAACCATTTGAAGGTCAAGATTTAGTGAAAGAGAAGTTAAGAGAACCAGTATGAACGAAGTGGGAGTTAATAGACAGAATTGTTCAATACTCTCCGAGGATTGCTTTGTGAAATACATGAGAAGTTAAGAGAACCAGTATGAACCAAGTGGAAGATAATAGACAGAATTGTTCAATACTCTCTGAGGATTGCTTTGTGAAATACATGCCAATGGAATAACAATAAAGCACACATCACAAGAGACTGTTGACTGGGAATACTTGTTAAAACAATGACTTCAACTTGATAAAGTTCTTTCATACCTGCTTTTCAGCTTCTCTTTCAGTAATTTTGCTTCCGAGAACCTTATTTGTCAAACCTAGAATGTAGTGACTTGTTATTCAAGACAACTATTGAAAATAATACGAAATCATTTCACTTTCTTATCATCAACTGTTCATACCACTAGCTGCATGATGTCTTTGACACCATTCTCCCATTCTATCTAAACATTCTTTGCTTTGATGGATAACCAAATCAGGGCCCTAAAAGAGGAGAAATTGAGGGATTACAAGATTAGGAGTAATCATACACGCATAATATTTGTTATTTAAGAGGAATAAAGGACCATGAATAAGTGCAGCATGATTAAGAGCAAATGATACAGCAGAACCATGTGTGTGTGTGTGTGTGTGTGTGTGTGTTTAAACACTTCATTATACATCAAGTTTCATGAGATCCTTTTTTTTTGGACAGGATTACTCCATTCCCATTTCCCATGCAGTACCAACCACAAGTATTATAAATAAACAAAATGATGACATCTGACTATAGTGACCAACACTCTTCTTCCTGCTTAGCTTCTCTGTAAGTCAGACCACAGTTAAAATTACAGCCAAAACAATTCCAAAAGTAACATATCAAGTTTTATGACTTGGATTATCGTTCAGAACAAATAAATCATATGTCATTTAGGTAAGGTGAAATCCACATAAACCATTGTTTTGGAGCTCTGATCCTCTGTTACATCAAATTTAAACAGCAAAATAAGCAAGGAGAAAACAAGCACTGGTTGAGCACATCTGTCTAGCTTTGTCTAAGATCATTGAGTCTATGAAATTAGGAAAGGTGGATGATAGGTGCTCAAAATCCTTGCAGTAGAGAAAGCTTCAAGACAAGGAAGAGGTTTCACAAGGATTAAATCCTACTAGCAATAGTTGAAACTTGAAAATTTCAGGAGGTTTGAGCCCTCCATTCTGCATGTACCCCACCATGATTGAAAAAAACAGTATCTGGTAGAAGAACTGAAAGTTCGTCACAGTCTCCTGCCTGAAGCTTTCATTACAAGTTTCAACAGAAAAAAAGAATAGCTAAAGCAGATTCCATAGCCAAAGACCCTGGGATTGAAGGAAATCCCAGTAGGCTAACCATCTTAGAGCATCGAAAACCTAACAGTAGAAACAAACCAAGCAATTCAAGCCCTTCATTGTTCTGCAAAACCCATTTCTCTAACATGTAAAGGAGAAACCTTGAATTAAATTGTATGATGTTTCTATACCCAAGTTATATTGTTGATAATATCCGAACCAATCATTAGTTAGCCTCGCTCCCACTAATGCATTGAATGGTTGGGAGATAACAGTAAAAATTTACTGACTAGCAGCCAGAGGATCCAGAACATTAATGAGCAAGTTAAAAAGTCAACTCCAGCAACCAAACAAGAGGTCTGAACTCTTTGCTGTCAGCACTCCACCTCTCTTGTATTCCTCCTAAATCAGAGAAGAGCATCAATTGCAAAACCCTAGCCATCATGGAGATAACCACTGTTCACGGCATATACCAAAAGACAGGTGTACAAAGATACAATGACAACGCAAAATGAGATAGTTTGTCTCTCTATATTAAAGCAAATTATGCAAATATCAGATGCGAGTACCTTCCTAATTTTACTCAACTACAAGTTACTACTGTTTGTAATAGGGTACCACCAACCAAACAAAAAGACTGACCTTCAAGAGTGGTTAGCCTCCCAAATATGATAGGCAAGAGTTAAACTGAAAAAATTATGGATAAACAATTATTGAAAAGCTGTGCATATAAAATCATCAGGTCAGTCCCAACTCTAAACCATCTTATCTGACCTAAGAGCTGAAAAGAAGTGAGGATCTAAACAAACAAAATAAGTTCCTCCACTTCCCTCTAATTAAAACATTGAATTTCTGAAGCAAAAAGTTGAAAGTTTTAAGAAAATTGCCTGCAAAATCAAGAGGTAGAGGCTAAAACTGTACTGTGTCCTCAAACACCAGCATTCACCATTTCTCAACAGGGATAGCAATAGGTAACCACAGATTTGGATAGTAGTATAACCATAACCATATGCAAATGAAAAAACAATAACCATAACCTATTCATCATTTATTGGATTTGGATTTTGAATAACCATATCCAAACCATCGGAATTCAGATATCCATGACCCATACACCTATTTATAAAAAAAAATTAATTGAATAAATCATTTTTAAATTTTTCTAGAATCAATAATTTTAACAAATTTAGTTGACTATATGTAGACAAAAGCATTATTAATATATGAACATATCATTAACAATAACAATAACCAAATAAGTTTTCTTAAAAAAAAACACACACAGATACATTCACAATATAACCAAATAAATATAAGTACATGTGTTTTCATATTGATTATACTGCAGTTAGGATTTCACGAAAACCATAATCTAAACATTGCCACGAATGTTTTTTCAGATTTTATCCAAATACTAACCACAAATATTTTTTTTTCCATAAAAAAACCACCCATTCAGATCGGGTCATTCAACTACCCGTTGGATTCGGATACTGTTCCCATCTCAGTTTCCAAACCACATCAAAAGTTTAAAACCCTGACACCGACAACTCATTCTTCTATCATTCTAGGTTTCAAATTGTCTATTTCATAACCTCCAGTTAATAGCAAAAACAGCAAATCACTTCCATAGGATAAAAACTCAAAAACAAACACAATCAAACAAAATAACAAATCGAAGCAGCAAATCAAGTATAACAGAAAAAAAAGTGTTTTAAGTTGAACAATACCTCCACTGACTTGGTCAAATAGCCATCTGTTATTATACAAGCAATCTCCAGTATTCTATCTACTTCAGTATTCAAACCTGCAACCAAAACAACTAGAAAACTATGAGCTAAAAAACACAACCCCAAATCGCGGATAATACTCAAAACCTTCAAACGCGAACAGGTACCAGTCATTTCCAAGTCAATCCACACTAGCGGCATCTTATAAACTTCTGAAGAAGACGTAACCAAATTCTCCTCATTCTGTTTCTCTTTTTCTACCACTACATTAGAGTCATTCACTTTCTTCTTGCTCTTTCCTGTTGAAAAAAAATTAAATCAACAAAAATCAATACTATAAATTAAATAGAAAAACCTTTTTGTGTCTCTCTTGTAATTGTTGCTTAATCAGATAATTATCAGAACAATTAAGTCAAAATTCTTCGAGCCTTCGGATTAACCTAGATGTAAAAGCGTGCAGTGTGTGAGTGAAAAAGAGGAGCAAAATTGTGGAGAGTACCTCTGTTGTTAGATGATTTAGACTTTGAAGAGGACGAGGAAGCGATATTTACTCGATCGTCATCGGCATCGAGTTCCAGTAGAGAGAACGAATTAGAAAGACGGCTCATTTTTATTTTTTTTCCTGCTACTGCGAATTTGAAAGCGCATGGCAAGCAAGTCGGGCTTTCCTTCATATTAAGGTAGTTTTCTTTCTTATTAAGTTAGTGATTGAGAGTGTTGTAGGGGAATTTTTTAAAGTGTTTTTATTTAAAAATATATTAAAATAATATATTTTTTATTTTAAAAAATTATTTTTAATATTAAAATATTTTTAAAATAAAAAAAAATAAAAAAATTAAAAATCACATAACACGATTTTAACCATAAAAATATATAGTCTCTAAATTATTTTGAGGTGTAAAAAGAATATTATGTCAAGTTTTAATCATGATTAATTTTATTTTTTATAAAAATATTTTGCGTGACTTTTTTTTGGTATTGGTTTAAACAAATATTTTATATAAGAATTGTGTAACATAAATAAACTTTATATTTAATTTTTAAAATTAAATTATTTTTTATAAAATATTTTTATATTATAAAATTATTTATAAAATATTTTATAAATAAATACCGATTCAAATTGTCAATTAATAATTTCAATTAACATTGTAGATAAAGTAGTAGTATAACTCCACCACCACCCATACATTATTCCATAAATTAATATTACATTTTCATCACCATCATTTGCACAATTTTCTGCCACCATCATCTCTCCACTTCTCCTCTTATCTTATTTTGTTATTATTATCTTTATCATTATATATATCATTATTATTACTTAATCACTATTATAAACTTGTAAATCTCTGTAAAAAAAGAGAGAACTAACCTAATAATTGCTTAAAAAAAACATGAGGGAACCAACCAATAAATAATTTAAAACACATTAAAAAAATACAATATTCAAACATGACCTTCCCTCTTAAGCCTCACTTAAAGAGGAGATATAAATACTTTTTTTTTTTTTCTGAGGGGTGTGAGAGAGACTTTTCTTCTTCTTTATGGCTTGTTGAAACAACCATGGTAACCCCTTTTTTTACAAATTACACCAAAAAAATCCCTTGCATGCTATCCATATAAAATAAAATAAATAATTTAACTAACAATCCTGATAGATTAAAACTCGTGAGCTAATATTTATAAATTTATAATAAATTCAAAGCATGTTAACTAAACCTAAATATAAAAAAAATAATAAAAATAACAAATCTGACATATAATGAAATTCTCATCCTAGAAATACTAGAATTTTTGTTGTCATATTTAGATATCTAAAAAGCTAGGGAATTGATTGTTGAAGTTGTTTCTCTTTTAGTTTTTTTTATTTGTTTAGAATAATTAATTGTAGCCCTAAAGAATCCTTCCTTCTTTATGTAGCTTTAAAAACATGGAAAATCTTATTGCTTTTCTTTGACATTCCTTGTAGAATTAGAAAACCCTTCAAAATAAACTAACAAAGTTATTATTAAATACCTTATGCTCTTCTTTCCTTACATAGATGAATAAAGAATTCTTGTAAAATTTTTTTTTGGAATATTAATGAATTTTTATCACATTTGAAGATTATATTGCAATCGATTAAAGATCCTTGTTACAATCAAATTATTTTATGTAACTTGATTATCGTTACTTGTAGAGATAAAAGAGAAAAAAATAAATATCATGTCAAGTTTTAATCATGACTAATTTTTTTTTTATATATAAAAATATTTTGCGTGACTTTTTTTTGGTATTGGTTTAAACAAATATTTTATATAAGAATTGTGTAACATAAATAAACTTTATATTTAATTTTTAAAATTAAATTATTTTTTATAAAATATTTTTATCTTGTAAAATTATTTATAAAATACTTTATAAATAAATACCGATTCAGATTGTCAATTAATAATTTCAATTAGCATAAAGTAGTACTATAACTCCACCACCACTCATACATTATTCCATAAATTAATATTACATTTTCATCACCATCATTTGCACAAATTTTTGCCACCATCATCTCTTCACTTCTCCTCTTATCCTATTTTGTTATTATTATCTTTATCATTACATATATCATTATCATTACTTAATTACTGCTATAACCTTATAAATCTATGTAAAAAGAGAGAGAACTAACCTAATAATTGCTTAAAAAAAACATGAGGGAACCAACCAATAAATAATTTAAAACACATTAAAAAAATACAATATTCAAACATGACCTTCCCTCTTAAGCCTCACTTAAAGAGGAGATATAAATACTTTTTTTTTTTTTCTGAGGGGTGTGAGAGAGACTTTTCTTCTTCTTTATGGCTTGTTGAAACAACCATGGTAACCCCTTTTTTTACAAATTACACCAAAAAAATCCCTTGCATGCTATCCATATAAAATAAAATAAATAGTTTAACTAACAATCCTGATAGATTAAAACTCGTGAGCTAATATTTACAAATTTATAATAAATTCAAAGCATGTTAATTAAACCTAAATATATATATAAAAAAAATAACAAATCTGACATATAATGAAATTCTCATCCTAGAAATACTAGAATTTTTGTTGTCATATTTAGATATCTAAAAAGCTAGGGAATTGATTGTTGAAGTTGTTTCTCTTTTAGTTTTTTTTATTTGTTTAGAATAATTAATTGTAGCCCTAAAGAATCCTTCCTTCTTTATGTAGCTTTAAAAACATGGAAAATCTTATTGCTTTTCTTTGACATTCCTTGTAAAATTAGAAAAATCCTCAAAATAAGCTAACAAAGTTATTATTAAATACCTTGTCCTCTTCTTTCCTTCCATAGATGAATAAAGAATTCTTGAAAAAAAAATTTTTTAGAACATTAATGAATTCTTATCACATTTGAAGATTATATTGCAATCGATTAAAGATCCTTGTAGAACTAAATTTTTTTTTAAAAATAAGATGTCACATCCTTTTAGGAAAATGATTCTTGCCAAATAGAAAATCTATGAATAAAAAGAAAGTAAATAATCAAATTTGTATATTTTATTCTGACATATATTATAAAGCCTTCTTAAACCCTGATTGATATAAACTTTTAGTCTAGTACAGAATATTATTTGAGGGAGCTTTGAGTAAATTTGCAGCCTGATTTAATAATTGAATTGAGAATTATGATTATTGCTATAAAACTAGATAATAAATATAATTACACTAGAATTTAAATTTTTTTGTTCAACCCTTTCTTATATCGTATTTGTATAGATTGGTTATGATTGAATAAAATTCTTAAGAGTAGTTCTTAAAAGTTGCAATCATCGGCATCTTTTTTAGATTATTCTGAATGAGATGAGAAAGTTATTAACAGAAAATTAATAAATCTCTTTAGTGTATGTTTTGAGAGAAGATAATAAGAGTGATCTCTTTCTCTTTTTTCTAATCTCCGTGATACTCTCCTTGTTGCAATCAAATTATTTTATGTAACCTGATTATGGTTACTTGTAGAGATAAAAGAGAAAAAAATGAAAAACTTGAAAGCTAAAGCAATGAAATCCAAAATAAATGTTGATCATTTTTTTAAAACTTATAAATTTGAAATCCTCTTAAATATTCAGATTAAACTCACTTTTAAACATTTTATAAATTTATCAAAATTTTAAAAAATCACTAAAAAGATGGGAGGCATATTTTATTTTTACTAAAAATCAATTGAAAATAATAAATGATACATAGGTTAATTTTATCTATTTTCGTATAAATGCGTTGATCTTACCAAATTGATATAATATATATATATGGTGATTTATAATATAAATTGAAGCATTTTATATCAAGAGATATTCATTAATGAACTATTGACCTATTATAGGTTGACACACACTTAAAGTGATATTGTTCATATAATAAAGATTAGTATAATATAATTTTTTCTATAGTGATTTATGTGATGAATTGAAGCATTTTAAACAAAAAAATAAATAAATTGATGAATTGGTGAGGAATGACACATATTTTTCATCTCATTAAATATAGAATATAGAATGAAAATGGTACACTTCACATAAGAAAGTCGCGGAACAAGATTTATTGATATTTGCTTTAATATTTGATAGAAAAATATTCTATTTTAGCACAAGTCTATAAGAGTCATGAGTGCAATTACTGAACCCATATCAAGCAACTTGTGAGCTCAGCCTGCGTATCCAAGCTTAGGTGGTGGGCATGAGCAGAGCACCCTAGCCCAATCCTATGAGGCATGCCTTCCCTCGTAAGCCCTAGTTTTTTCAGTACAATAACATGGCTTAATATTCATAGTTACAACAAAGATCTTAAGTCTAATTAATTTTTTTTATTAATGCATGTATAAAATTTTTTTATTTCTCATTGATGTTATAGGATAATGACTCTTCAATCCCTTTATTTAATAAAAAAATAAAATTTATATACTATAAATACTCCCTAAATTATCAAAATAAAAATTCAAGATTGAATATTAAAAAATACATCCATGTTCAACATAAAAACAATATTATTCGTAAAATTTAATGTTCTCCAATATATTTATTATTATTTTTATATAAGATTATTAACTTTATCTCACGAGTTCCCTCGAATCCTATAAAAAAGAATTTATTTTTTGTAGTTATTCAAAAATACTTATCTAGTAATATTTTTCTTTACTTTTAAATAAAAAGTTATTTCAATGAATATTTGATTAATCCATAACCAATCATCAAAATATAAATACACTGATTTAACCAAATTAAATTAATATGTAATAGAATATATAATGATTTTAATTAAAAAAGAAACTCATTCGCCGTATAAAGTAAATTGGTAGTTTTTTTTTTTAATAAATTGGGAAGTCTTGTTACTGTAAGAGTTACCATTTTTAACTCTCACTAATTAAAGAAAAAAGAAAAAAGAAAAAAGAAAAACGAAAAAGCGAAAATTGAGAAAGAAGAATGGGAAGGGGTAGAGTGGTAAAGGAGAAAGGAAAGAGTTGAGGGAAGGAATTATCAGGTGCGGATGAGATAGAATCAGATGCGGAACACCACCATCGAGGGCACGTTTCCTTTATATATAAAAAAGAAAAAAGAAAACCCACGTAGACGCTCTCCATTGCCTATTTATTTTCCAAAGCCAAGAGTCAGATTATCAAAGCACGCACCGAGAAAACTAGCCAGCAAATATCATCATCCTCTATTATTGTAACCACATTTCCAGCTATTTTCTATTCATCTCTCTCCCCGATATTTTCATTCTCTCCAGTCTCCAAACAAAAATGGCCGATCAGCTCACCGAAGACCAGATCTCCGAGTTCAAGGAAGCTTTCAGCCTATTCGATAAGGACGGCGATGGTCTCTTCTCTTAGATCTCTTCTTATTTCGTCACCTCTTTCTTTCTTAGATCTGTTTCCTCTGTTATTTTCTCGTTTTATAGCAGTTTTTCTTCTTTTTAAGCGTGATCTGTCTTCTTCTGCGTTTTATTCACATCGATTGGTCTTCTTCTTGTTTTTTTATATAATTTTTCTTTTCCTTGAGGATCTACTGTGAAATGTGCTAGGGTTTGATCGCGATCCTTTTTTTTAATATTTTGATTTGGTTCGGGTCGGATTGACCGGATTGATTGATTGCTTTTTTAGACAATTTGAAAATGGATTTTATGTGTTTTGTAGTGTAATTTTTATTTGCTGCTTTGTGTGAAATCATTTGCATTTGCATTTGCGGTAGGGATGAGACTGATGATGTATCTGTTAATTTATTGTGCTGTTTCTTTTGTGTTTGACAAATGTTGATGGATTTGAACTTTGGTAAACTTGCTTTGGCAAATCGTTGTTGGAACTGTAGGGATTTTTGTGTTTCATGATTAAAGTTGAGGTTCAAATGTTGCTAGAGAGTCGACAGGCGAAGTGGTGGAGGGTGGGCGTTACTTTATTTGATCGTTGAATTGTAGCAGCAGCCAGAGGAATAATTGCATAATGTTTGGATATCTCTTAATGCTTGTTATAGCATGTTAGGCGTTTTGTCTAAGTTTTGTGCTTATGCGGCTTTCCAAGTTTTTTGTGTTTTATAACCCCATATGTTTATGGCATTATAACGTTGCCGTGTTATTTTTTTACTAATAAAAGGTTGGAACTTAATATGCATTTGTCTGCTTTTCTTTGTATATCTTGCTGTAAATGCAGCTAGAATCCTTATTTTCGTTTATATTTATGATTGATGTGCGTTCTTTGTGGTGGATATGCATATATGTTTCCATCTTTTCACTTCAAATGATTTTTTCCCTTTCATTTTTTTGATACCACGTGCAATTTGTTGATTTTTGTGTGTCTGAGTCCTCTTTGAACACATCAACATCAGGACTTGTTTTGAATGGTATTCATTATCCGAACTTGATAAGGAGTAACAGTAGCAATATGATAATTGTTTCTGATTTTACCACAGGTTGCATCACTACTAAGGAGCTGGGGACTGTGATGCGTTCGTTGGGTCAAAATCCAACTGAGGCAGAGCTCCAGGACATGATAAATGAGGTTGATGCTGATGGGAATGGTACCATTGACTTCCCAGAGTTCCTCAACCTCATGGCCCGCAAGATGAAGGATACTGATTCTGAGGAGGAGCTCAAGGAAGCTTTCAGAGTTTTTGATAAGGACCAGAATGGCTTCATTTCTGCTGCCGAGCTGCGTCATGTTATGACAAATCTCGGGGAGAAGCTGACAGATGAGGAGGTTGATGAGATGATCCGTGAGGCTGATGTGGATGGTGATGGTCAGATCAACTACGAGGAATTTGTCAAAGTCATGATGGCCAAGTGAGGTTCACTCACCCAAAACCCAAAATCTGATGCATAAAACGAAAATGGGAAACGGGGCAGATAAGTTTGATGAGAATTCCATTTCCCCTTGTGACATCTTCATTTGGTGTCATTGGCTTCATTTGGGTTGTCTGTTCTGTTGTTTGCATTGTTTTGTGGCACTTTTCCATAATGTCTACTTGTTTGCTCTGTTTCTTGTTCAGTAGCTTGGCGTGTTAGTATCTTTTCATTGGTGTTTGACATTTTCTTTATACTTTTGGTATTATGAACCTAGATCAATTGGGAGAATTGGATGTTTTTTGTCATATGGATGACTGATTTTGTTGATATTTCAAACTTCGATGTCACTTTTCATGTATGTGGTGTTTTTGGACATTTTTCTGTGCTGTAATGTCTTCGGCCATAATTTCATGCAATCTGATGTAGTGCCGTTGCTCATCTGTTAAATTTCACAGCAACAATTGCAATGTAAAAGACAATTTAATTGCATTTGCCCCTCTCCCCTTCTCTATGGAAACAAACTTTAATGTGGCCGGGGGCCGATCTCTTAAACCATGGTTAGACAACTGCGCTAGCTTTTCAATAAGCAAAGAATGATTATCTGAAACCCCAATTCAACAATGCCTAAGATGGCATGACTCTGGAGTTTCTCGACTAGCCATTTGCTGCATTTGGCATTTCCTGGAGGTACATTTTCTACTTCAAACTAATTTTTTTTTACCTATAAGCTCCCATGAGTTTTCATTAATCTTGTCCTGAAGGTGTCTGGACAGCTAGTGCAGTTGCCTGGCCTCTCCCAATGACCATTATGGCACGCAACATTGTTCTTTGAGTCCAACCTACTGCATGTAAAAAGTCTTAATCTTTGCCTACGTGCTGGGTCGGCCTGTCATATCCCTGTTTGTATCTCTGGATTCTTGTTCTTAGAGGGTATGAAACAAGTTTGGCTTACAAGCACCCTTTTTTTTCCTAGGGCTCATGAAACAAATTCGCTAGCTCACAAAGTCACAGGACGCTGGTTAGCAGTCACCTGTAAGAGGATATTTTTGGTTCCTTCTAGCGGAATGAGGAATAACCTTTTATCTAATCGATGGCCTTGCTTTTAATGGCCGGTGATTTTTCTGACCTGCCGAGAGTCTGTCTCAAGATAAGTATCTAATTCTTTTTGAAAGATCCCCGTCGTAATTGGTTGAAAACCCTTCTCTTCGATTTTCTGTTGATTTATAAGTTAAGCCCTGGTTTGATGTTTCTTGGTGAGTGGTGGTGGAATTTTTAGTGCTTCTTTCTGCTTTGTTCCCCATCAAAAAGAAATGTTCAAAGTGAGCGTATCGATGTCCAAAACGATTCGGTTTCAAAGGGAGAATGCATTTTTTATTTTTTTAAATAGTTCATAGTTCGAATCTTCCAAGTTCAATTTCGGATTTTCGCAATCACTCAATTCCTTTTTTTTTTGGTTGGTATTTACAAAAAAGCTTTAGCTATCAAAATTTCCATCCTTTTTTGAAAATTAGCATGTTCTTGGCATCCAATATCTTTTACTTTACAAATACAAAAAATAGTAAAAGGGATCGTTAAGCTGTGATGAACTGATAATACATGCCTTTCTTTGTACTTTACTGTGAGTCATAATTTCTATACCTTGCTTGCAATGTTCTCTTCCTCATTTAAATCAACAAGTACGTGAAAACAGTTAGAACAATAAAAGGAAATGATGTCTTCAAAGATATTACTTATTAGCAATAGTTAAATTGATGCTTTTCCTTCGCGTCTTGCCCCCAAAAAGAAGCCTCATAATTTGCTTTCTTGAGTTTTTTTTTTTCCCCTCGATGAATAAAAGAGAATTCAATAATGCTCATTTCTAATTGGTGTTTGACACTAAAATAATCTTGCTATAATGTTATAGTGATTAGGGTTTCAGTTGTTACATTATCATATGCATTCAGTATCAGAATGATGTTTTTTTTTCCTGAAATAGTATCATTTTCTTTGATTTTTTTTGGTCCTAGCTGGATTTCCTTTACCTTTTTCAAAATTAGATTTTTAATCTATATTATCATAAAAAAAATTCGCCTTTTCTTTTCAATGACCCAATACAACTATACAAGAAAAAAATCATCATTATTCGTACCTCTTGTTACCATCTCCCGGAGAATTTAGTACATACTAAATACATATTAAAAGGGGTTAGACCAAAAAAAAACCTACGTATTTTCTACCCAGAATTAAAGAAGCTAATAGCTTGAATTGGTTTTATTTCCGTACAGAAAAAGAAGAATGAGAAGTGAAGATACGAAACATGTTATTAGAAAGAACTCCATCTCCAAGGAAGACAAAGATAAAGGTGCAAAGAAACGACGTAGGCGAGACAAGTTTCGAGAATGCTTGATCCTCTAGAGTTCGACCTCGTCACTCTACATGTGATTTTATTGTCGTTCATCATCAAATGCATTCTACCAATGCATATAAGCAACGCTATCAAAATAAATAAATGAATCATATTATCATATTTGATCCAGGGGTGGAATGGAACTATTTGTGGAATATATTGCCTTTTATGTATATTTCAGATTTTTTTTGAGGTAAAACATGCCAAAAAAAATAAAATAAAATTTGACACAATAGAACAATGAAGAGAAATAGCTTGGGAGAGTTTGCTCGAGAGAAAGAGAAGAAATTGTTATGAGCTCTAATTTTATAGTTGTTGCCTTGTATTATCTTTAATAATACATATGCACACATGCATTACATGTATATACAGATGTAAATAACTAACCTTAGCTAATCTTAATGGGCATTGCGTAATAGACCCAAATATAATATACACATTACTAATAATACAACAAATAACTATGTCTAAGTCTAGAATTATATTTTATCATATTGCTTCAATACTTCCTCACTCGCAAGTTAATGAGGAAGACACCACATTTAGCTTGGATTGTAGAAACATAAACTTAAATGATGAGAGAGGTTTAGTGAGAACATAAACAATCTATTCATAACATAATTAATGTTTGAATAAGCATGTCAAAGCTAACTCAATCATGTTGCACCAAATATGCATCAATGGTGAAGGGTTAAAATCAACCTTAAAGAAATTAAGGGACATTATTATTCCACCTGTCGCGCGGTGATGTCGAATGACGCACTATAAGCCTCCTAAGACGTGTTGTTGGAAAGAAAAATGGTTTTATAAAATTATAATTATAAGATTCATGAATCGCCACTTAATATTATAATTGCTTGAAAACCTATGGTCTACGAGAATTCGGGTAAGTGACTGGTTATTCAATAGATAGGAACATCGCTTCTAGTACACCCTATCTAAGCTAAGTTGTATTGTTGTTTAATTGTTATTCTAAGTCAAGTTTCTATTTGTTGGTCTTTTTTCTAAAGTCAAAGGCAAATCTCTCTTCGTAAGGAAGTCTCTACTTTATTGGGCTAAATCTTAACCATTTTAAAGTTTAAATTTTAGCACTGTATTTATTTTGTATTTTGTATTTTTAATACCTGATAACATACTCTACTGTGTAGTTTTACACTCAAAAAAATTAAAGTGTACACTAAACCCTAATATAAATAAAATGATTGGTGAAAAGTTTTTGATATTTTGGTCAAATCCTAATGGATAATTATAAAATAATTACAATATCCACCTTTTTTTTTGCATTTTAAAATGTGATAAATATGTAATTTTTTTTTGTTTTTTATATGAAAACATGGAAAAGTTTTAGGATTTGATTTTAAGCATGAAAACAAAATTTTTGTTTTTGTTTTTGAAAGAGGAAATTAATTTAATTTTTTTGATAACTTTTTTTAATTTTGAATTATTTTAGAAAAGTTTAAGAGAAAATCAGGTATTTTAATACTGGATCTGTATCTTATAATGTAAATATACAACCCAGTACTATGCAAAATTGTTGAAAAAAACATGCAAGAAAATCACAAATATTTTGAAATGACCCTTGGAAAATTTTTGGAGTTTTTATTTTTATTTTTTAATATATTATTATTATTATTTTTATTATAAATTGGGCTGGACCCGGCCTAACCATCCAGGATGGGTCAAAACAAGTCCAACTCGACCATGTCAGGTTGGGTCAACTGGCGGCCTAACAAGCCCTTCTTTTTTTTTAGGTGGGCTGGACCCGACCTAACCATATGGGCTGGGCTGGAACAGGTCTATCCCATAACCCACATGGTTGCTAGCCCAGCCTAGCATCCATATTAATTAAATTAGTCGCTACATACAAAAATAAATTTTGCATGCAGCGATTATGGGGGAAGAAAAAGAAGGAGAAGAAAGGGCAGAAGGTTGCCTGACTTGGGGATTATGGCCGTGATGAGGAGCTCTAGCTGGTGGCTCAGGAGGCATTGGTGGAAGAAATAGTGGTCGACGTTAGCTGTGGGAAGAATAAGCAAAAACTTGTAGAGGAGAGACGGAAGCTCACAATGGCTACTCCTGAGGTAAGGTGGTTGGTTGGTGGTGGTGTTGATGTCTCATAATGGTTATGAGGTCGTGATGAGTGAGGACACAACAGTGGAGGAGGAGGAGTGATTGAGATCAACAATGGAGGAGGAGAAAAAAGAGGTTGGAAAAACAAGGGTAAGGGTTGTTTTTTTCCCTTCAAACTTGGGCTTTAGATTTCTAATTAATAATTAAAAGTGTATTTTTATCAAGGTTTTATATCATCATTTTACACATGAAGGTTTTATATCATCATTTTACATTTGAAGTATCAATAACTCCTTAACTAAAGCATGTTTTATAATAACAAGTCTGATACCATAAGGTACCTTTAATTTATGATAAATATTCATCCTAAATGTAAGTCTATCACATAAATAAAATGATTGATTGATGAATTAAAGTATAGAAATTTAAAGGACAAAAAGAGGGCCAAACTTAGAAAAGAGATGCTGGTGTAGTCTAAACTAGAATACTGTTCGGTAACTAGGTTATATCTGGAGCTCTAGATCTCAGATTTAGGTCTGTTTTATATGGATGGAAAGCTAAGACATAGGCCTAAAACTTTCATGAGGAAGTCAAACTCAATTTTGCTATTTGATAGTCCAAATCTTAGCAACAACATAAAAGTCTGAATTTATCTTACAACCTAGGTACTGTTCAGTGTTCAGCCTATATCTCGTGTTCTAGAAGTCCAAATGACCTTGATGTTTTTTCTGGAAAGTTGAGACAATTTCCTAGAACTTTCATGTGGAAAGTTGGTTCAAATTCTGATGTTATCAATGACATTTTATTCAGACAAGAAGATATGGATTGTTACCAAGTCAAGATATAGCCACCCACTTAACAATTAGTTATTAAATCAATAGTTTCAAATTTTGGCCTATTGAAGGAGGTATTTGTCATA